GAAGTGCTTGGCGGTACACCCCCATTTTTCAGTACTGATTAAGGAGGTATTGGGGAGGCATTGGGGAGGCAAGGACAATCCCCAGACATGGACTGTATATCTCGAAACAAGACACTGGAACTCATGATAAGGAAGCGGCAGACGGACAGAGAAACAAATGTAAGGACTATAAATCTCAAAACTGGACATTGGAATTCATTATAAAGATACAACAAACGGAAGAATTGGCAACAACCAGCTCTCGCAATTAAGAAACGTGCCAATTCAGCAGATTCCTGACCAAAGGTGAAAAGTACACTGTGAGGAAGACTCGGGGTCTTCCTCCCAAAGACCCCTGCCCACAATTCTTGGGAGGCTCTACGCAGGTGCAAGGTGCCAAAAGGCTAATTAGCATGAGAAGCGAGGGAAGGTGGGGATAGGTAATGCATATGTATAGGCGCTTGTAGAATATTGATAGATTGATTGTATAAATTCAAGACTGCTTTCAGCTTTGGGTATGCACGATAGGTGGAGAGATCCCCCGTGCATCCAGCGCTGCAATAAAGAATATACCACTTAAAGGAATTTCGGCTTCGATCTTTGAATCACAAGGAGGTATTAATGTTAACAAATATGTGGATCATTTTCTATTGTCAGGACAGTGTGAAGAAAGCTACTAACAAGCTATTCAACTTTCTGGGAAAGCAGGGCTTGGGAATATTGAAAAATAAATTACAATATGGAGAAAGAGAAGTCAGGTATTTAAGGCATCTAATGTCTGAAGGAAAACAGAATAAATGCAGAGAGGATTCAGGGAATTGTTGAAAATTAAGAAAGAACTAAAAAGATTTAAAAGAAAGATTTTTTTAAGGAATCAGGAGCTATGAAGTCTGAAGGAAAATGGATACTCCTTGATGGGAGAGAAATGCTGAATAAAGTGATAATGAGGCAAATATTAACTGTTTTACATCAGAAGAGTCATTGGGATGTGCAAGCAATGTGTGATGTTGTGCTATGAAAGTATGTCTGTGTAGGAATATACACTTTAGGGAAACACATATGCAGTGGATGTACCATATGTCAAAAGGTAAATAAAAATGTCTTCTGTAACCCATCTAGAAGAGGACGGGAGCCAGGGGTTTGACCTTTCCAAAGTATACAGGTAAATTTTACTGAGTTACTTGTTTGTCCCAATTGACCACGTGACTGGATGGGTGTAAAGCTTTACTGCAAGGGTTAAAGCGGGCCTTAGGGATTGAGTGGGATTTTCACAGCCCCTGGCACCCCTCCTCTTCTGGGAAGGTGAAGCTAATGAATCAGACATTAAAGAAGCAATTAACTAAACTAGTGTTAGAAACCCAACTTCCTTGGGTAAAATGCTTATTCCTACAGGTTTAAACAGCACCAAGAAAGGATATAGGAATTTCACCATATGAGATGCTGTTCAGATTGCCCTATCTGGGCAGAAGGGATGAGATACCACAATTCAAAACAAGAGAGTTTTCTTAAGAACTGTATTCTGGGATTGTCCTCTTCTTTGTCATTTCTCAGGACCTGTGGGTTGTCGGCTCAAACCCCACCTTTGGAATTCCCCATTCACCACCATCACCCAGGAAACCAGGTCCTGATTCGGACCTGGAAAGAGTCAACTCTGGCCTGAATGGGAAGGACAATTACTAACCACTGAAACAGCCATAAGAACTGCGGAAAAAGGTTGGACTCCCTATACTCGAGTGAAGGTATCCGTCGACGCTAGTACCTGGGAAGCTGTTCCTACAAAAGACTTGTTGGAAGTTGAAATTAAAGAGAAAAATCTCATAGTGGACTCTGAGCAGGATAAGAGCTTACAATTGTAAACTAACCTTTTATTTTCACAGGTAACTAACGACTGTGATTTGTGATTGAGAGAAAGGACAGACCTATAGCGAATTGCAGTGCTCCCAAGGGGGGGTTGTTATAGTAGTAGTGTACATCTTATTTTTTTGTATCGATAATTGTTTGGAAACCTAAGGTTTAAAAATAATGACAGGGAAAAATTGATTACTGATTTTGTTTTTAGTGATTCTAGGACTCAGAGAAGGCCTTGGTCATTTGGTAACTTGGAAAAGGCATGACCAGATAATAGCAAAGACGGGATAGCCCATCAAAATATGGGTGACTGTGACAGAGGGTTATGTACCACAAGCCGTCACGTTTGATGCTTGTGAGGTGCTAGCTTGTGGAGATTTAAATGCCCAATGACAACTGAGCAGAGAGAACAAATAACTGGGAGAGACCCAACAGCCAGATTGAGAATAGCTGTATGGAAACAATCCTCTATTGCCATCAGAGAAAGGGAGAAACTCAAGGAGGAAACAGGAGAGAAAACAGAAGGCCCTCTGAAATGTGGCAGTTCAAACATTTGAGATTCAAACAGGGTATGGGGATGTGAATGCCTGGATAGAATGGGTCAAATATACCGTCCAGAGTCTCAACCGTAGCTACTGCTATGCTTGTGCCTCGGGATGACCGATTGCCCAGATAGTGCCCTTCCCATGGGGGTGGACCAAAGACTCCAAGGGATGCGATATATGATTGCATTGTACCAAGAAAAGACTGCCTGGGGAAATGAGGCCTGTAAGTCTCTCTTTGCTGTTTCTTGCATGATAACAATATCACCGTTCCCCCTGCATTCTCTATAGCTATAGGTAACCATACAGCTTGCCTCTCACGGCAGGGTGTGAGTGCTACCTGGCATCTGGGAGAATTTGCCTTGTGCTACCAAGGACTTGATGGGAAACTGCTCAAGACTAGAGATCCCTAGGGCAGATCTCTGGTGGTACGGTGGAGGGAAGATCTTACGGTCCACCCTACCATCCAATTGGGGAGGCACTTGTGCACTTGTTCAATTAGCTATACCCTTCACCCTGGCATTTGAAAGAGAAACATCACAAATACCCAGAGGAAGTAAAAGAGGCTTAGGAATATCATTTGATGATAGAGTATACATAGATTCTATTGGGGTACCTAGAGGAGTTGCAGATGAACATAAAGCCAGAAATCAAATTGCTGCAGGGTTTGAGTCACTGTTCTGGTGGGTAACAATCAATAAAAATGTGGATTGGATTAATTATTTCTATTATAATCAGCAGAGATTCATCAATTATACCAAGGATGCGATGAGAGGAATCGCTGAACAACTAGATGCCACCAGCAAAATGGCATGGGAAAACAGGATAGCATTAGATATGATGCTCGCAGAGGAAGGAGGTGTGTTTGTGTGTGTAATACTGAGCAACCATTGTTGCACTCTTATACCCAACAATAGTGTCCCAGATGGCTCAGTAACAAGAGCATTGCAAGGGCTTACCACCCTTGCCAGTGAATTGGCAAAAAAAAAAAAAAAAAGTAGGCATATTTGCAACATTGATCGTAGTTGTAGGAGTTTTGACAGCCATTGGTTGCTGCATTATCCCCTGTGTAAGAGGACTAGTACAGTGGTTAACTGAAACCTCACTATTGAAACAAATGACCATGGAGCTACCGCCTTACTCAGATAAGGAGATAATGAGGAGATGGAAAGCAAAGAAAGCAAAGAAGAAGAAGTCTATCAAATTACACCTTAGAGAAAGGTTTTGCAAAAATCAACAGTTTATAAAAAAAGAAAAGGGGGAATTGTGGGAATAGAAATGTTGTTTTTGCAGAGTTACATTGTTTAGAAGGAGGGAATGTGGTACTGAGATATGCTTACAGTGATAAGAAAGTTTAGCAGGCGATCTAGTAAAATGCAGACAAACAGACTCCTTAGGACAATTAGGTGAAAATCACGGTGTCAAGTCAAGTCAGATAAGTGAAGAAACATTACCACTTCAAGCAGTAAAAATGTCAAAAGAAATTTGAAATTTAACAGGCCGGCAACTGAAGGCCATGCATTGTTTGTGAAGCATCAGATAGATTGTGAACCTGGATTACCCACTCAGTGGGGAAACAGGGGAGAGTCCTGTCATCAAAAGGTATATAAACTGTGTTTTGGAACTAGTAGATGCGCTCTCTCCTGCTTGTGGGGCGCCCGCCATTGCAATCGCGAATAAATTACTACTTCACTGAGATCCTCGCCTGAGCCTAAGTTATTGGCTACGGAGTGTTTCTCACAGGATACATAAGGCCCGAAGACCGAGTTGCTTGACAACTTAAAGCAAGACATAATGTTCCCACTACTAGCCCTGGAATTCTCCAGGTTTTGTAATCAGGAAAAGGAATGAAAAATGGAGACTATTTAGTCATGGAACTTAAAGGATTGTTTGTTACCTTTTCTGATTGCACATGTATAGGCATATTTGGGTGTAGTATGTAAAAGCAGTGTTCTGTATATTTAGAAGTTTCGATGTGTGTGTGTGCACGTTGGTAGAGCATAGACTCCCCGCGCACCCAGTGCTGTTTACTTGCCTTTTGTTAATATTCCTTTTATAAATATTACTAAATTCAGATTGAGATGAGACTTCATTTATAACCGTACTGACACATCCAGTATGTTCACAGGGAAAATAGCAGTATGTGGCAAGCGTGGTGGTGAGCCCTTTCACCTGGACTTCATCTACTTGGGTTACCAACTGCTGTGTGTTCTGCCTGTATAGGCAGGAATGAGAAATCCGCCCTATAGTTTGACATAAAAGTTAAGGGGTACGTCTGTGGTGTGATTATGGGCGCAAAACACAGGGTAATGGAGGGAATAAGGAGAGCGGTACATGCAACGCTCCCTCCCGCGTGGGTCTGATGGATCAGGACTACACTTCCCAAGAGCTTTTGCACATCCCGCGCATGCGCGGCAGCTCCTGCGGCGTCAAGCACGCGCATCTGCGGGCGAAGGCAGCAACGGGCCGAACTACAGCTCCCAGAGGCTTCTCTCATACGTCGCATGTGCGTACGGCGCCGGCCCGTCCGTACTCCGCAGTTGTCGCCATAGGTGGCTGGAGGGAAGGGAGCAATCGTGGTCGTCAGGAGGAGGAGAGGAGAGGAGGAGGAGGAGGAGGAGGAGGAGGAGGGGGGGGGGGGGGGGGGGGAGGGGGAGGAAAGGGTGAGTGAGTGAGTGAGTGAGTTCAGACGTCGTTGCCGCCACCAGCTCGGACTCATGATTCCCATATGCCCGGTAGTTTCGTTCGCCTATGGTAAGTAACAGCGCTTGGGGAGGGCGGCTGCGAGGTGGGGGGGGGGGGGAAGCGGAGGGTCCTGAGGCACCGTGTCTGACTAGGCGCTGTCACGCTCGTTCTGTCTCTTGTCCGTCTGTCCACTTCTCTTACCCCCTGCTTTCTCTTCCTTCTTCCTCCTGTTATGGCCCTGTCTGCCGCTGCCGTCTCCTCTCGGTTACCGCCACCGTAGTGCCCAGCCGGCTGGGAGAAGATGCCAAAATGGCTACCGGCAACTACTTTGGATTCACCCATAGTGGGGCTGCTGCTCAGTACAGGTAACTGCCGCCACCCTTCCCTTCCCCGCCCCACCGTCCCTTTCCTCGGCCAGGCCCGAAGCCCTCTTCTCTCCCCCTTTGGTCCCTGAGGGGGTGGTTCTCCCCGCCCTCTCGGGGGGGGGGGAGCCTGGGGCTTGCCACCTTTGCCTGTCCGTCTCTGGGAGCCTCTGCTGCACCGTGTGCCCCCGGGCTGGTTGTGCTAGGGACCCTTTTGCTCGCCCGCACTGTCATGGGTGTGTTTGCTTATCCTGCTGCCACCCGTGTCCCCTGTGGTGTGGGGGTGGAGAGGTGGAGCTGGGCACCACAGAGGAGGAGAATCAGTGGCAGGATTAGGGCTCAAGGCTTGCATACCTGGCGTAGTTTCAGGAAAGTGCAATTTTATGGAGGTCTTGCAGTGATGCTCAAGTTGATGCATCTATTCTTTCCTGGAAATGGATGTAAAATGCATTTGTTTTAATTTACTTCCGGTGTTGAATAGTTAAAGGAAGGGATTAAACTTAGCATGTCTTCTAGTTCTTTTAAGATGAGGTGCTCACAGCATATTTATGTGTTACTTGACAGTTATAGTGAAATTTGAAACTGGGTCCTTGTGGGATGTAGAGCAGTTTTTAAATAGCATAGAGGATTTTCTTTTCTTGATAAGAAAATAAATGATCTTTAAGTGAATAATAAACTATGAGATCCATATGACTGCAGTTATGAAGTGGAGATTAATTTTTAAAATTACTTTTCCTTTTGTTGTGGAGCTGAAGAGCTGTATAGATTTAAGAACCCAAACAACTCAGTTGGAGTTTCCTTCTGCATTGCAATATTAAAGTATAATTGGAATAAAGTTGAAGTTCAAAACTCTCTTCCTTGTTAATCATAAATGCGTTCTTGAGGAAAGAAAAACTGATCAAAAGGTTTTTCCTTTCTTACCACAAGTATATCAGTAAGACTCTGTGTTCTATAAATGGTTTGTATGTGTATCATGTCTGAGTGTGATGAGAGACAGTGATTGGTGTTCAAGTGGTCTTTTCATAAGAGAGAAATTTAATATTTTGAGCAGAAAACACAGAAATTGCTTAAAGCATCTGAAAGGGGGTCTTACCTTCATAAAGCATGTTTGACAGGTCCTTAGTAGCTTATTTACTGAGTACTACAAAATGTATGTTCTACTCTAGCATATTTTAGAGGTAATGGCATCAGGGTAAGATAATTGAAGATTTAATATTGCAACAAGCTCTTTAAGATTGTTACCAGTATTCGAAGTATCATAACATATAAAAATAATAAAATTCCTGCCTCATTAGAGAACAGACTTGTAGAGAATACAGATTAATGTTTATCTGATAGCTAAAGTGCAGGTGGGCCTCATAACTCTACAGTAGACTTTTTCTGGTCACAGAACTACTCCATGGTTTTCAAAAAGTTGATCAAAACAGCAGGTTGTTTTAGGAGAGTAAATTAGACACTTGCAACTGCAGACCTTATTTTTTTTTGACATAGGCTTTTTAGAAGTTTTACTCCTGTGGGTATTATAGAATGTAACAAATGTTCATAATAAACATGATTAGTCACGTTTTTGGGTTCTCTCTTGATAAAATGGCTGTCAAAAATTCTGATGCATTGGGAGAACTTCAGGATAGAACTTTAAAAGCAATCTCAGTGCTTCTTTATTATTATTCTAGGTTGTTTGTGGCCATGGTGGATCACTTAAATACTCTCCCATCCTTTGTGTGCTGGATGAATGATTGGTAGCTGCTCAGATGTTAGAACTCCGTTTGGGAGATTCATGAGCAGAGTGTTCAGGAGTTAATAACATGTTTACTGTTGTAAGATGTAAGCAGTATAGCTCCTGAGTTGACTAGATAAGAAAGGGAATAGATGTCTTTTTTATTTGCTCATAAATATTAGTTTTCATAAAGCATGTTTGAAACTTACCTTATTTCATGCTTAAGGGCAGAAAAAGAGCTAAGTGCCCTTTAAACCTATAAATAATGGATTAGAAGCATTCTTGTTTCTTTTAGTGTTGTTACTGCATAAAATTTCCTGCTGCCCGCTTCATTTAGAATTCTTCTATGAACTGTACGTTAATAATATCATGACTTAATGAGAGAAGAATTAGATTATGCAAATACCTATACAGGAAATTTCTCTGCAATAGCTTTACTTTATGTTGATGGTGGTATTAGGACCTAACATCATAAATCTGTGTGCAGTGCAAAACTCATCTGTTACTTATTTCAGTAACCGTATTAATCTATTTAGGAGTCTGAAATAAATGTGTAACTTGGTGATACCAGTCCTCTTCTCTTCTGTGCGCACACTCCATAACTCACATGAACCACTGTATCTCCAATTTGAAATGAAGAGCTTAATATTGGCTTGTATTTCATGTGTAAAAAACAATATTAGCATTCTTGATTTGGTGCTGTAGAGTCATTGTTACGCTTTTATTTGAAAGTTGGCTGATTGAAATGTGGGGATGCTGGTGGAGAGATGAGAGCATTGAGAAACATTTGGATAGAAAAGTGAGTTTTTCTTTGCTTGCAAATGTGATGGTATCATTTAACCAACCTTGTGTTAAAATTTTGGTTTCAAGAAGATAGAGTAATTCTTTGAATTTCATCTTAGTGATGTTCTTATCAAGGCTCTGCTGTAATGAGACAGGTGGGAGATCCTTGGGTAGTTAGGAGTGATTTGTTAACTTTAAATTGCCCTCAAGTAGCGTGAATATTATACATTCAGTATTGTGAGCTGTAACACACAAGGGCAAAGGAAGATGTTTGGGTCCAGAGCAGATCATGATGCCTGTGAGTTTAGGTTAAGATGCAATCTTCTAGGCAGCCATATGGAAGTGAATTCTTGCAATTATAGCTAGTCTGGCATTCAGGTACAGTGCTTAAAATGAATGGGGAACAAAAGTAATAATTTTATCATGGGATGAACCTACTTATATCAGAGTGTAAAAATTGTAAATGCTTTCTTTCTGTGAATTTTATGACTGTGGTGCCTTGAATTGCACCACATCTTAAAGGATATGTGTTTTTAGCAAAAAGAGCTTCTTAATATGATCAAACTGTGTATGATGCTGATTCTCCTTTGCTCAGTCTATGATAGTCTTAAGTGTTGTCTTAAACATGCTGTTCTATCTGTCTTAATGTACACAAGAAGCCTCCATTAAGCTAGTGCTGTTTATGCAAAGATTTTGGTAGACTTGTTTCCAAACCAGTGAGGTGCCACCCTCGAGTGAGATCTGCCAACATTAGTAAGGCAGTAAGGAGCCTCTGGGTTTGTTAGCGTGGGCTGTGTGCCGGTACTGCAGTTGACTATTGACAGGGAATCAGAGGAGGTGGTGGTAACTGGGGAGGAAAGGTGCTTCAGTAATCAGAGGAAGTTTTGTCATTTGGAAGAGTGAAGTCTGCCAATGAGGTGAAATTTGCAACAGGCTCATGATTTTAAAAATCGAGCACTTGGGAAAAATTTTCTGTTAATATTAAGTCCTTTGTAGTTGTAACCTCAAAATGTATTGATGATTGCAGGCTTAACTCTGGGGTGTTAAATTATTTGTAAAAACTTGTTACCTAGATGCAAAAATGGTAGGGTAAAATGTAGTTGAGTTATTGGTACCTAGAAAAGCGAAGTAGTGGCTAAAGGCAGGAAATATAGAACGCTTCAAGAATTGAATACATTTTTCCTTACTAGTGAAGTTTCTCTCACTTAATAAAGAGCTTGCCATTTTTTTTTTTTTCTGACAGGGAAAATGTCTGTAGCTAGTATTTTTCAGGCAGATGTGATGTCTTGAGCTCAGTTATTTTCGTGTTGTGCTATCATTGTGAACATGGCTGTTAACTAGACTCTTGAATAAAAGCAATGTTTTGATGATGAAGGAAGTAATATAGGGAAGAGCCATCTGTTGTATGCAACTGAGTATGGGGGTGGTAGATACAGAGCATTTATTGCATCACTGTTTTAGATGCTAGCAGTTATGGTCTGATGTACAGAGATAAACGTTACCTGATTTGATTGGTTTTAAAGCAGGTAGTGAGAATAAATGTGAAGATTAAACAGTAATAGTATATTCAAAAGATGAACATTTTAATCTTTGAGATGAATTACTGGTAGCGTATAATTTAGCTATACGGTGGTAATTTCAGATTCCTTTTGACTTTTTTGCTGTTTGAAGTGGTAATGTTTCTTCACTTATCTGACCGTTTTATTTGACCATTTTATGCTGTGTATTGTTAAGTGTGTTCAGGAGAAAAGAGTTGAATGAGGATTATTGTTTTTCACTCTGCCCTACTTTCATTAACATACCTGAAACTTCATCTGACCAGTTATTCAGTAGTTCCTCTTTATCCACTTCTCTAAAGAAGCAGCAGGTTGTAGTGCTTCATTCAGTTTTTGGAGAGTTAGGTCATACTTGTTTCAATCTTAATATCACTAAAAGAAAAACTGCAGAATTATGTTTTTAGACAGAGCTTTGCTATTCTGCTATTGATAGAATAGTCTGTGAATCTTTGAAAAATCCTGCAGTTGGGTCTCAATAAGTACAGTTTCCTTAATGCTAAAATGTTCTAAGAAGTTAGAATTTTCAAGATATAAGGCTTAATTGTTTTGTCTAGATATTCGTATTTTTAAAATTATGCTTAAAAGTAGTTTAAATGTCGTGTTAAGCTAGCCTGCAAATCGCTTCTTTAAATGAAAAAATATGCAAGAAACATAGTTAAGAAGTTGTCATTTCTGAGGAAGTTCATAATTTGGATTGAGACAATTGGTTTTAGCCTTAGTTTTAAATCTGTTAGAATAGTACTCTTCAGAAAGTTAAAACTAAATATACAACAGTGTCTTTTGCCTCTAGAAATAGAGATTTCTATGTTCAGTGCTCTAAACCAAGCTGGAATAGCAGCAGTTATAATGTATGTGTTGGTTGTTAGTACATAGATACATAGGAGATGACCATTTCTATATTCCTTGGGCTTATGTGCACATGAACTGTAATTCATTTTCAAGTTAAA